CTCTAATTCCCCAACGAGAGCAACTATAACCATCAAGCCCTTAGGGAGGGGCCAGTCTCTTTCTCCTTACGCTCACACAGTCCAGCTGGGGGCTGAGGAGATGCTTGGGATGTCACTCCCCCTCCCTGTAACCTTGAAGCTCCCTTCCAGAATCCTCCCCGCTCATGCCTTCCATCACATGAAGCAAAGGAATGTGTGTGTCCTGTGGAGAGTCTGCAGCCCCCAAAAGGAATCAGAGGGTGAAATGAGTAAGACATACCTTGAAGCTACACACTCCTATAAAAACAAAACACAAGATGGTGGAGGAGGGGGGCATTCTTCATCACAAGGGCCAAACCCGTTGACCCATCTAACATTTCAAGACTAGAACCATCCATCTCCCTCTCTTAGAGCAATTGCAAACTGGTCTCTTGAATCCAGGAAGAGCCACTGTGAAAAGATATTTTTTGGTTTACATTACACAGCAGGTAGAATCGATCCCTTTAAGATTCCATAAATCCCTCAATCCCTACCCCAGATGAGTCAAGCAATTTGAGGGTTATTCTGCAAAGACTCTGAATATAAGTTCAGATGAATCAGTTTTATTGCCTCTGAAAAATTATTTCCTGAGAAACTGACGTGTGCAATTTTCAGGATTCCTGGAATAACTCCTCTCTCAAGATGTCAGTATCAGTGAGGGAGCTGAAGATTTCCTACGTACATGAGTTTGTAGAGTATGCACCCATAATGACGAAACATATGGCCATTAAGGTGTTGCTCAGACATGTGTTGTTTTCAGTAAAATAAGCAAACCCAACAGTTTCTTCAAAAACATTGCTTGTTTGCATTCCTCACCTCCATCCCTGGAAACTTGTCTCTAGGGGGCCAACGCAACTCAAATTTTCTAAGTAAAGCCAAATTACTGCTAAGCAGAGTTTTTGCTTTCAGTTCATGCTCCTCTGTTCTAAAATATGTTAGATTCAGGGTTACCTTTTTTCTTAATATTCTGAATGCCTAACCGTGATACTGTATTTAAAAGACGAATCCTTCAACAAAAAGATATAACAAAGGAGTTTTTCCCTTCCTTCAGCTCCCCTTTTCCACTCAATGAATCCTAGGGCCCCAGACACTTTTGCGATTGTGCTCCCTTAGTGTGAGTAGTCTTGTGGCCTTGAGAAGCTTCCTTTCATAGCCAGCATAAACGAGGCAATTTGCGTGATCAAGGGCAAGAATAAGGAGGAGGGAATTTCAAAAAGATCAAAAGAAAGTGGAAAAGACATGCAAGAATTGCAAGTGTTTCCTCTGGATAAGCATCTGCAGCTGAATGAGTTTTATTTTATAATTCTACCTTGATGACTATCATAAGCTTCATCTTTAGATCACTGCTTACTGTTTCACTTACACAACCTCTGTATGTTATGGTCTCCTTTGAGTCAGTCACCTGAGGCAGACCAGGAAAACCATAAGCAGAGCAGAGGAGGGCAGTTCCAGATCATGAGGGGCCAGATCCAAGCAAGGCACCCAGCCCTAGGATGCATCAGCAACTTTGAAGGACAAAGTAAAGGTGATCTGCTCAGCCACTCAGGAAGCCAGAGTGACAACATCCCTACTTGAGCCATTCCCACAGCTGACCTTGTGCTCAGTTGAAAGCATCTCTCCAACATTAGTGTTCCTGTATCCTTGCTCTCTGCTCTCAGAATCTAGGCTTACAATTCAGACTGGCTTGTGGAAGTCTCTTGTATCTGAATGGACAGACCACTCTTGTTTCTCCATGTGGAAACAGTGTGGAACAGTCATTCATTTGCTCAAGAAGATAAACTGTCTTACTGATGATATGCCTGTGTACAGTATCTCTCAGGCATTGGACATCAAAACTTAAGTTCCGGAAAAATGAGTCAGTCGCTCTTGCAGCCTTAGAAATTACAAGTTGTATCTGTGTCTCTGAGGCTCATTTGTGGAGGAAAGGCTGAGGTGTGACTGTGATTTTTCATTCAGTTTTGGCCCTTCAAACCCCACTCTCACTTTGGGGGAATAGCTGGCTTCATTAGTAATCATTCTTACTAATTCCCAGCATGTAGGGCTCTTCCCCACACTCCTGGCAGTGTACTTTCCTGCCATCGTGATGAGACGAAAATATGCCACGTGAAACACAACAGCTCCACAGCATTTCTCAAATGAGGTAGGCCAAGGGGCAGCGGGTTAGTGTTACCACTGCTGCTGGGGGAGCAAGGACCAGGGAAGAGGATTCTTCTCCACTTCTGCCCCCCTACCAACGAAGCATGGATCCTCCACCTTCTCCACTCCTCTCCCCTTCCGTTGCCTCCATGCTTGCTGGAGAATGCGGCCAACGGTATCCTCTTCTCAGTTCAGTCCTTCTTCACTTCTGCTTCTGACTCTGACTTAGCTGCAGATAGATTTCCTATTACTATGTTATTTCTCTAAATAAAGCTTAGTTTTATTTACTTTCACATAAGCACCATCCTATATAATTCTTTCTTACAAAAGTTATACCCCTAATTCAATGTTTCTCTCTCCACACATTCTTTCCACTCTCCATTGCCCAACACTACAAAGCTTATTTCCTCTGTCCTACTCACACTGTTGCAGCATTTGCTACCAAGTCCTCTCCTTGCAATCCTTGAAGCTTCTTCTAACCATGACTGCTGAAAACTGACATTGCGGCTTCTTGCCATTTTGAGGGGGGAAATGGGTTTAAACTACAGTCCGAACCCTGGAATAGGCATTAACATTCTGCCCACTTCAAAAATGGTTCAGAAGAGGTCATTTGGACTGCCTGTGAGCACAACACTCCTCTGCTGTTCATTAAACAGCCCAATCTTTTTCAGGCTTCTGCAAGAGCTTGAGAAAAAGATGCCACTCTTCTAACAGTCACCTTAACTTTAATGAGTGGATTCCTGAGCAGCTTTTTTTCAGGCATGTGCTAAAGCCTGAAAAAGGTCAGGTTGTTTAATGAATAGCTGTGCTTACACAAGGTCTAAAGAACATCTTCCAAGTAATTTCTGAAGCATGCACAGCCCTAGTAGGCATAATTCAGTTAAGAAATTCTGAATTATGAAACAACCTTCCAGAACTTGCCCCATCCATGCATGATATAATCCTAATTATTGACACATAATTGTAAAGGTTCCAAACTTCTCTCAACATGAGCTCAGCATAGAGGTCTCTACTGGAATTACATACAGAAGATCAGTCTGGATATTGGGAGATCTCTAGCTCAACCTTAGTAGACTAGAAATCAAATAGGAAGAATTTCTGATCCCTGGTGAGTTCTCAGGGGAGGGGGGAATGACAAAAGCAGCGTCATGTTGTCATGTTACAAGCCCCACTCCTTTTATACATGCATTGTGATGTCACACACATGTACAAAGGGTCAGTTTGCAGCGAGAGACCCTGCTTTCATCATTTTGATGGAAGCTTCAGATCCTGAAAACACTTTGTTTGGTTGATTAGCCACAACAATATGATTGACCAACAATTTAAATTTATGCTGGTGAAAGGGAAGAAAGTTTGTGGCAGTCAGGAGTCAATTACTGTATGGAAGGATTGTGAATGTCATTCAGTTTTTTACCAAGCAATCTGGGCTGGGAATTCTTTAAATCTAAGACTGCAATTGGATGGACACTTATCTGGGAAATCCTACTTTAAAATTTTGGAGGATTCCTTCTACAGTCTTCCCTTTCCTAATCTGTTCTGGAGAGAACTCTGTCTCCCTTCTTTCCTCTTCAAAGCTAATATGTGCTACCATCATTTTATTCATCAGGATAAGAAGCTTCAAATTTACTTTTTTAAAAATCCTACATAGCAAAGATAGAATTCACAATGTAACAGTTAATAACAAAACAAAAAGAAATAAAATGATACATTCA